TTAAATCCGACTATAACTTCAAAACTACTACGAATTTTGCAGTTTAATTGACGCCAATCGATTCCCCGGAACATTTTACATAGGTATAGGTCAAAATATTATGTCATTGAGACTCAGTTTTGCCGCAATTTACAAAACAAAAAAAACTAAAACCATAAAATACAACTAGTATTACCTAATACTTTTATTTTTTGTAAGAAATATAACTAACAGTGATTCACGCTTCCAATAACTTTAACAGTTTGCATATTGGGGTTGTAGTTTGTCACTTCTCGAACGTTATTTTGTTGTTTCACATAGAATAATCGTTCTCTGCTTTTCATTTCATTCGCGATGTCTCATTTTGATTTAGTTTGCAACGAACTATAAAAACGAACGATTCTTTTTAGTGTTGAACTAGTTCGCGCGAACTAGTTCATTCAAAAGAACGATTATTCCCATCTCTAAATTAATAATAAAACTGCAGTTTGTTAAAGGTGTTTAGTACTTTAGCACATGCTTGACTTTGGCAGAACCAGCTTAATCCGGATAGCCGGCAGAACCTGTTATTTACAACTCTTTTATTATTAGGTCATTCTTAACAATTTTTACAAAAAAAAAATAATTTTGTCTAAAATGTTTTTAAAATCTCGTAGCATTGTAACTAGTTACATTAGCTATCCAATCAACATACGGAGCAACTCTGGTGTACTATGACACCCCCCAAATAACTTCTTTTGTGTTCACTTTGGATACACTGGTGACGACCTTCCAAAACTGATAATGTCGCGGTTTGTTGTCAGAGACGTTTCGCACAAATGTTTATCATAGCGAGATATGTGATAACGAATATCTCAAGCAAATTTTTATTATTTATATTTTTATCCCGTTTTCTTTTATTGACAAATTTTAATTTTCTGGTTACTTTATTGTTGTCTGGTTGGTGGAACCACAAGTTAAATTTTAGGCGCCCGAGCGGCAATTTTAAAAAAGAATTATAGGTACATATATCAGAATTTTTCTTTTTTGTACAAAGTGTCCAAATTAAAGTTTTTTTCTGTAAAAACTCTATACTATTACCTCCTTAAATATTGTACAAACCTTTTTTAACACCTTGTTTCTTAATAATCTTGGCAAAAGATCTCAGGTTAAGTGACTTTTTCACTGAAATTTCATAATCTCAAATTCCCACTTGAGTTTGCAATTTTTTGCTTTGTTTTGAATTTCAAACTTAATTTTAGAGACAATAACATGTTTTTTGCCTTGTTTTTGTGAAACCTATATCTATTAAAATTAGCAAAATTATGTGTGTTTAACCTAATTTGGCCAAATTTCTGCCTTGTTTTGACAAAATCTTACTAAAAAATTGAAATAATGCATATTAGACTTATTTTTGCGATATTATGCTTTGTTTTGGTTAAATTTCTTAACTTTAGATATGATTTGCTACCGATTCGTCAGATTTATTTTTACAAAATCTATTACATTTTGTAAACTTTTTTAAGGCGTTACAGACTTTAATTGCTTACAAAATGATTTATTTTATACAGGGTGTTCTGGCTAAACTCCACATTAGTTTAGTTTAGAGAATAATATTTATTTAAAATTTGCTAATAATCATAGTCGGTTAGATCCTGGTCAATAAAAATATTTTCAATATGGTGGCATTCTGGTTATACCGGAAATGGGTATCAACGTCATTACTTTACCTAGAAATATGTTTTTTTTATTGCGTTTTTAAATTATTCAAGTGATTTTTTTTTTCCTATATCTAAGTATAACTCTTACAATTTTTTGAAAATTTTAGATTTGCACATTCCTTTTCAAAAATTGGTAACTCTGCGATTATTTATTATTTAGAAATCGTATTTAGGCATAAAAAAGAGAAGAGTTAGATTTTCCCTTTGGTGTATTCATAATCGAAAAAACAATTAATAAAACCTTTAAAGTTTAAAGTTCCGAAAACAAAAATAAAAAAACTGTCAAATCTGCTCCAAATTATCCATTAAATGGCGTAAAATTAATTAGAATTATAGTTTAAGCTACAGACACATTTAATTTTTTTTACTTTAAAAAATTAAAATAAAAAATAACTCAAAAACAAAACGGTTTCAGACTCTTGAAGGTTTTTACATAGAATGCTCCAAACCCCCAAAAAATCAGCGTCCGGAAACGTCAAAAATACCTTGAAAACTATCGTCGTAGAGCATTTTACTTAATTTTTTTTTTTAATTTCCATGAAAAAACTAGATAGTTTTTTTTATTTTTTAGGCATGCAACAAAATAAAAACGATAAAAAACATTAATTGAGACCTTAGTTTCTTAATTATTTTTGATTTTAATTTGCGTCAAACTGAAAAAATCAGCGAATGATTTGAGGGTCAACCAAACAAACTTCAACTCACTAAAACACATTCTGATTGTTGTACTAATAAAATTTTAACATTGAAATTAGAAAGACAAAGCAATAATAACACCTAATTAATAATTAATAAGCAATAATTTCGATATCTATTTCAATAAATAGACGAAAACCACATTTGTATCGTAATGTGTGACAAAAAATCGCCAAAACTTTCGAATATTTACATCAGATGTAATCGCACAATGGGTGACCTAATTGAAGGGATTTTTTCCCAATCCGTTCACTTCTTCGTACTAGGTGGAAATCGAACCAATGATACACACTGAGACAATAATAATGCTCCAAAAACTGTGCCTTTTATTATTCGTTTCCAATTATTAAATTTGCTTATTTTTGCAATTATAATTTGATCGAAAAGTTCCAAATCATGTGGATCTGTGCCAGTGAACGTGCAGAAAAACAAATCGATTATCAATAAATTACTTATAATTCGAACCATACACTGATTTTTCCCCAGTTTCAAATTAACCGCTCTAATTAGAAATGTTTGAAGGCACAAAATTGCTTAATCCGATTATAACTAAATTTAATTTGTTGAAAAAATTCCACACTTTGGCATACCTTTCATTACGCATTTAATTCGTTACACTTGCGTTAATTTCTTCAATTTATATTATTTGTGTCATACCGAGTATTAGATTGTTAATAATAATAATTATGTTATTTTGGTAATATATCACAGCACAATGACGTATTGTGACATTTGAAAATGAGACATTTTTAATATCGTTGTTAATTAATTAATTTCCTCAAGAAATTTACATGACAAGTAAAAGTTGCTGTTTCTTAACGTTGTATGTTACGAGTGATGATAATGAGATATTTAAATTGGCACAAAAATTACAATTTTGTTTACTTACAAGAGCGCAAATAGCATTAATTATTATTAATTAAAAAGAATATAAAACCAAAATAAAAAAACATCTTGGCTTTGAGACGTTTTAAACAATTATATATTTATTGTGGTAGTAAAACGATTACTTTAATATAGTTATTAGAATTAACACAACTTTTAAATTATTATCGGTAGTGTTAATTCAGCTAAAGTATATTGAAAACAGTTTATGTTTTGTACTAAGCCTATGTAAAATGTTCCAGGAAGTCGATTGGTGTCAAGAAAATCCCAAAATTCTTGACAATTTAAAGTTATTGTTGAATATTTTTTTTTGCTATTTTTGTCTTTACCAGCAATTTTTTCAATAACTATTTATCGCAGAACTATGATCTTTTCTTGTAAGATAGAAAATTAAAAGTGCTTTCTAACGATACCAAACATAAGACAGTTATCGAAAAAAATTTCAAAGTTATTAGCTGTACAGAAAATTGCAGAAAATTTTAACAAAAATCGAAAAAATTAAGATCTTTAAAATTCAACCAAATGCACTCCTAGGGATTCAAAAAACTTAGAAGAGTGCAAAAACGTTGTGAAAAACTGAGAAATGTGTATAAAACATTATAGAGCGATTTTCTTGAGTTGTTGATTTATTTTTGTAAAAATAAAGATCAACGTTTTGTCACAAAAAACGTTTTCTAGACGTAAAATCATGCCCTAAACACATCGCAACAGGTTAAAAGGCTCCACCATAAATGGTTTCCAAGATATCGAATAAAAAAATTGTAGCAAAACATAAAACTAAGCACAAAACAGGGAAGCAAATATCATTTTACATTCTTTTCGGTTCGTTTATTCGAATGTCAATTTTTCGACCTTTGCTATCGTTTATCAGTCCACTTTATGTCACTTAAGACGCTTTACTTTCAAAAATTTTGTAATTTCATAAGTGTGAGACTTATATCTAGAGTAACTTTTCACTTTGTATCCACGTTTCGAAACTTTTATAACGAGCTATCTCTTTACGGAGACATGTTGGGCATGTTTATCGTCCACATACTGCACTTTCTATCTTGAATCAGTAATTCGAATGGCGAAAAAACAATGACTTCCGGGGAAACCCCTATTTTGAGGAAAAATTTGCCACTTCCTCTGAAGTGGATACGGCCGGTGTTAAGGTCACTGGAAGAAAGAGTGCGGTCCCGGCGGGTGTGTCTGAGATTTGGGGGCTCGCCGAGGCCATCACTCAAAGAGGGGGCCCGGCGAAAGTGCCCCAGAACTTAAGATCTGCCGGCATTTTATTGCCAAATAGTGGCAGTGCGCGAACAGTGCGTGCAGCAAGTGAGGGTGAGTGAAAAATTTTCATTTTTTATCACTAAAAAACTTCCTGAAATTATTACATTGCGTCAATGTCACTGAAAAAACTGTGGTAAATCGAATTTCGCGCTCCACCGACCGACCCCTGACACCAAAAAAAGGCCAAAATTTTTGGTTTTGGGACATCTCAAGGTCGCTCATTACATAACTGAGGAATTTGCACTCTTTGATCACATAATCAGGTTACAAAATTGCGATTAATTAGACCGACCCACAAAATTAGTAAGGTTACAAAACTGTGATTCCCCCGTTTTATTTCCTGTTTAAATAATTATCGCCAAGTATTTAGCTTTCATTGGGTCGAAAAACGTTGCACAATTCTGTATATGCAAATTGCAATTAATTACACAAATTCGACTTTAAACCTAAAAAATGAGCTCATTTCGACATTCATTTCAATTACAAAGTTGTCACTCACAACATCCCCTAACCTCACTAACTAATTAAATCAAATTAATTCAAATTATGACATTAGCTAAGCCTATTTAACGCAATGAAAGTAATTAAAGTGCGATACTAATTACATCAAGTGTGTAATTATTCAGTCAGGTTCATAAATGCCAATAAAAACGTGCCGCAACAGGGATGTGATCATCGATTGTTTCAGTCAATTTCATGAAATTATGAGAAAAATCTTGCAAAACTTTTAATAATAAAAAAATTACAGAAAATTTTCTATTGTTTAATTGCGTTATAAGTCTCTTAGGGCCCTTAAAGTGAACGTAGAACAATTTAAAATAAGCCAAGGTGAAGAGGGCTGGGCAAATATGCGGAATATCGATGCAACAAATGTCAAATATGTGACGTTACATTTTGACAATTCAATTTTGACAGTTTTGATTCAACTGGAACGGACTTATGACTTGCATTTTGCGTTAACAAAATATTTCCATGTTACGTGTGACCGTGGTAAAAATTATACAATAAAATTGTATCCACTTGAGAATCGCATGACCACAACTAGAGAATGACATCTGGAATGTCTATGGGGCCTTGAATCACTTGCCATACCTGAAAAATTCTATGGATTGTGTCTTTTCGGTTCATTTCGTTTCACAAACAATGATTTTGCAAAAATTGGGTGAAGCACCCAATAATTTTTTGACACTTTTGTAACACTCGAATGATTTTCAAGTGTTTGCAATAATGATAATTCAAGTGTAGTGGACTAGAACATAGATAAATACCCGAGAATAAGTCCATTGTGGTAACAATAATAAATATCTAGAGACCCGGGGCGGGTTTGTGTCTCTGATAAATTTTTCAATTATACTTTCTTTTTTACCGACCTAGTTGTTGTATGACGTGATTTTTCTCATTAATTTAGCGAGGGTGTGGTTACGCACTGACCAATCAAGGACGCTACATACTGTAAAACTAGTAAATTCGATTTACAAATTTGAACAAGGTCAGTGTTGCCAGTCCAAAAAAAATAAGTTCCCTAAATTTATTTTCAGCAGATTTCGACATTATGATTTCAATTTTTCTGATACTGTTGAAAGTTTGCGTTAATACATAAATCTTGCTCAAAAACGTACTCAAAAGGCAAAAATAACACTACTCTTGGTTAATAATTAATTAATTATTTAAGTTTGTGCTTAAAAAACATGGTAAAACACGTGAAAGAAGCAGAAATATTGCTTTAATTTTGTTTTTTTTTTTAGCAAAATATCGCAAAAAAACTTAAATTTTAGTTCAAAAAAATGCTTAAACGCTCGAAAAAGGATAAAATAAAGCAATTTTTGGGTAATTCTGTCGTTTTTAGGCTTGTTTTTAACGAAATTTTGCAAAATATTTTGCTTTAATATGACTTAATTTTGAGTTTTTTTCTGTTTTAGCAAAATCTTGCAAAAAAATTGTGATCTTGGTTTAAAAACGAGCCTAAACGCTCAAAAAAGCAAAACTTACACTATTTTTGGGTTGTTTTTAATAAAATTTTACGAAATACTTACTTTTTTGCCTGAAAAATATGCTAACACTAAAAGCGAAAATAACAACGTAATTTTAAAATCTCGCAAAAAAACGCAATCTTAGTTTAACAACGTGCTTAAAAACTTGAAAAGGGTAATAAAATAACTAAGTAACACCAATTTCGGCTTATTTTTTGACAAAATTTCACTCAAAACAAGCTAAATCGCTTAAAACAAACAATATAACAGCAATTTAGATTTTTTTTGTAATGTTTAGGCATGTTTTGACAAGATTTTACAAAATAAATAAATCTCTGGTTTAAAAACGAATCAAATAGAGTAAAAGATAATAATATAAATTTTGATCTAATTTTTAGACAATTTTAAGTAAAATTTTTAAGAAACTTCGTATTTATTTCAAAAACGTGCTCAAAACATAGAAAAAGGCAAAAATAACACGATTTTTTGCCTATTTTGTTCACTTTCTAGCTTGTTTTTAACGAAATTTTGCGTTTTTACCTGAAAAACACTTGAAACATACTCAAAAAAGGCAAAAATAATATTTTTTTAGTAAAATCTCATAAAGGAATTGAGATTTCGGTTCATAAACGTGCTTAAAGTCTTAAAAAAGGTTATTTTTTGACAACATTTTTAACTCAAAAACGAGCTAAATAGAATGAAACAAACAAAATTTAACTTTATGTGTTTTATGTTTTATAAAACAAATAAATTTTTCCTTTAGAAACAAAGTAAATCGAGCGAAACAAGCCAAAATAATTTCAATATTTGCATGTTCATTCTGGTAAATTTTTAGCAAAATTTTTCAAAAAACTATTAATTTTAAAAACGTGCTTAAACACTTTAAAAATACAAACATTTTTTGCCTAATTTAGTAAATTTAAATTTGTTTTTAATGAAATTATGTAAAATAGTTCTGTTTCTGGATAAAAAATACCAATACGCTCCAAAAAAAAAAAACAAAAATAATGGTCTTTTTGACCCAATTTAGTGATTTTTTAAGCCTGTCCTATAAAATCTTATTAAAACAAATAAAACAATTTTTTTAACTAATTTTTTGACTTATTTTGGCGAAAGTTTAGCAAAATAATTAAGTTTTTGGATCAAAACGTGCAAAATATTCAAAAAATGCAAAAAACAGTGTCAATATTTTTGTCCTAATTTACTAAATCAATTAATTAAAAAATCGAATTTTGTTTCTTATTAGAATTCTTATTAGCATTTTATGAGAGAATCCTCAATTTAAAAAAAAATCACCAGACATGGTGATATTTCTGATCAAGGTAGTCCCTGACTTTGAATAGGTTGGCAACGAATTGACAATTGTAGCCAACTTGATTTTAGAGTCACAGGCCACTTTGATGGCAATTTTTCTTCCTTTATTTATTGTTTATCAATCACAACGATTTGCATGAATAAGTCCGGTAAATACTGCAATTGTGCAAGTGATATGCAAATGCGGAGGATTGTCAAGGTTAGCCATGTGTCAATTTTTCTCTCCCATTCGAAAAAAAATTGTCAGGACCTGCTACGTTTTTTAGAATGTGTATGTTACGAAAGTAAAACACTTTCAGTTGGGATAGTTAATGACCTCCATTTCGTTATATAACTCGATGTCTACACCGGATTGTCGATTAATGAAATTTAGTGTTATGATGAACTTGAATGTTGTCAAGGATTGTATAAGAGACAATTTCGAGAATTTAAACTATATTGTAAGTTTTGATTATATTGTTATGTTTTTACTCACGCGTGTCGAGAGAGAAAGTGATTCTGAATAATGTTATTATAAATTAATACAATGGTAAATATTTATTTAGGAAGTTGTAAAAATTACAAATAACAATGGAAAAGCGTGAATCAGGTACGGGCCCTATCGCAAAGCTCTATCACGACTTGTCTATAATTACAAACTATATTTAAATAATTTGTTAATTATGGTAGAATATATACAATTATAAACCGTTTTGTAGCATTGTTTAGACCTTTCCGCTTCAGTAAATCGAGTTTTCATTTCGTAACACTGAATTTAAAAAATAATTACACCGGATTTATATCACTTTTCCAAGCATTTAATTTTTCAAATAAATAAATTTAAAAGTAATAAAAATACTCTTTAAAACCTTTTTTCTCCGCGATGAGTCGCACATGTGAGTATAGGTTTATATAGTTAAATATTTTTTATAATACAATATCCTGGAATTGCACTGCTTCATTTTTTTACCTAAATAAAAATGATTTTAGATAGAAATAAAAAAAATTATTATAATTTTTCAAATTTTGCTACAGTGAATTTAGTTTTGGACTTCAAAGTTCAACACAAACCACAAATTTATGGTAAACATACAATTTGGTGTTCAACTAAATAAAAAAAAACTAAAGATTAATAAAAACTTATCTTAAAAAAAAAACTTTTTTCCTCGTCGACGAGTCGCACATGTGAGTAGGTTTGTTTAGTTGCTATAGAAACCCACATAATTATACATGTAACCATGGTGAGAAAAAGTAACAAGAATAAAAGTTGTCATAGTTACAACAGATCATAAATTATTGTGATTGTTACATTTTTTTTAACCTAAATAAGACTATTTTTTTGTGTTTTTGTATCTGTTTTTAGATAAAAATAGAAATCTTTAAACGCTACTACAGAATATTCAGGCCAGTGGCGGGTCAAATTTTTTTCTCAATAATGAAACTTTTTTTACAATATAATTATCCTTAATTGTAATTGTTACAATTTTTAACCTAAAACTGTTTTTTTTGTTATTCATTTCTCTTTTTAAATAGACATAGAAATCTTTATAAATTTTAATTCCAGTTGATTTAGTTTTCGAGTTCAAAGTTAAAACAAACCACAACTTGCAATGCTAAAAATAAATAAGAAAATCTAAAGATTAATAAAAATATCCTTAAGAACCTTTAAGTCTCCTCGACGAGTCGCACATGTGACTAGGTTTGTATAGTTGCTATAGAAACGCACAGAATTACGTATGTAACCATGGTGACAAAAAGTAACAAAAATAAAAGTTGTTATAGTTACAACAGAATTTATAGCCCAGTGGCGGGTAATCATTTTTCAAAAAAAAATTTTATTTTAAACTATTGACCTATTTTTTTTGTAATTGTAATTGTTGCATGTGATTTATTTCTAGTTCAAAGTTATTGCTAATAATTAACACAAATTATTTTAATTTACTCAATTTATTTGAAAAAAGTGTAATAAAACTTGCTCTACAAGTTTTATTTACTCATTTTTGCATTTTTATGTAATTAAAGGCTTCAAGGAATTGGTATGCACTAGAATTTATTATGTAGTACTCATTAATAACGTCATGACAAACATATATAAATCTGTTTTATCTCTGTCCACACTAATAGAGATAATAAAAATAATTTACTTTATGTCATTAATGACAAAGAAATGGTATTTAAACCGTACAGTAGTAAATACCTCAACCTATTTATGTTTATGTTTATAGTAAACAATAGTGGACGACCTAGAAACCTTACTTACGACTTTATATCAAAATTTGTTTTTGAAAAATAAAAAGTAGACAACCAGTAATACATCGTTGTGACCTTGTACTGATCAATCATCGCCATTGCGTGTGCGATGGTGGTGTAATGGTCAGCATAGTTGCCTTCCAAGCAGTTGATCCGGGTTCGATTCCCGGCCATCGCAACTTTTTTTTTGTTCCAGATGTTACGACACGCACTTTTCCTCGTCCTCTTATCACCAGCCTTATCACTGGAACTCGAAGTGGTCAACCAATGGAATTTGCTGGATTTTCGTTTCCCTTTCGACCATCGTCTCATCAACAACTTCCGGTAACTCACAATCAAATTGAAACAACTCCGGAACTGTTGATTTCAGCCCGGAAATGAACGTTTTCACCGGTCTGGAGATCACCAATGACCGGATTTTCCTCGCCGTTCCTCGACTTTGGTCGGGCGTTTCCGCCACTTTGGCAGTGATCCCCCGACATACGCCGCCCGGATCGAGCCCCATGCTGCAAGCGTACCCCAATTGGGAGTTCCACAAGTTTGGCCGGGGGCAAAATGACAGTTGCGAGGGGCTCACGTCGGTCTACCGAATCCGGGCCGACTCCTGCAACCGACTTTGGGTATTTTACACAATAATACAACACAAAAGTGGATTTTGAGCGTTGTGAAGGTTCTAGATTCGGGGGTTAACCTAGCCCTTGAGGATTTCCAACGTGTGTGCCCCCCGAAATTGGTAGTTTTCGATTTAGAGACTGACCAAATTGTCAAAACGGTGGTTTTTCCACGACAAGTCTTGCGCCCCAATTCGCTCCTCACTAACTTGGTGGTGGACGAGACGGGACATGGGGGCTGCGAGCGGGGGTTTGTCTACATGTCGGACACGGCAGCGCCAGGTTTGAACCGTTTTTGGTGAAAAAACCAAATTATTTTCGTTATGTTTAGGTTTGGTGGTTTATGATTCGAGTCGGGACACAGCTTGGCGACTTATGCACCCCACGATGTTCCCAGACCCCGACTTCTCCGATTATACTGTTGCTGGGGAGCGCTTCACTCTCATGGATGGGGTAGTGGGACTCTCACATTCCCCCAAACTGGGAATTTTATATTTCCAACCTCTTGCAACCGACCGGTGTGTATAATTGGTTGCCTAACTTCATTAAATTTTTTGTTCAGTTTGTTCAGTATTCCGACTTCAGCGTTACAAAAGGGGCCCCCAGGTCAAGACGAGGAACTTCCCATTACTTTAGTCGGGAAGAAATCATCGCAAGGTTTAGGTTTGGCCTTGGATCCGAAAGACGACACTATCTTCTTTAGTCCGGTTAGGGAGACTTCCATTGCGGCCTGGAATCCGGTTACCAATCACCAGAAGTACTCAATTCAATGAAATATCTTTCAGGAGTAAAGATTTGAGTTTCAGGTTAATCGCCTATGACCCTCAAAAGCTTCAATTCGCCGCTGAATTGCGATGGAAGGATGAGGACCAATCGATTTGGTTGTTGTCAACAAGGTTTCAGAAGTTTTTCAGGAGGACTATCAGCCCTCTCGAGGTCAATTTGAGGATAATCAGGATCAGTACAGCTCCAAGAGTTGCCTCCGGAGTGAGCAATCATTTGTTTTATTAATTGGAGACGAAATTAAATGTAAAAATGTATTTATTTTTGTAGAGATTGTGTTTTATGTATTTTGACTGGTCATCAAGTATTGTAAATAAGTGAATCAATAAATTTGAGGAAGTGACGTGTGGTGTTTTTCTAATGTTTGAAGTTGGCAAACATCCTGAGGTTATTTGACAGTTAAACATTTATGAGGAAATAGTAGAAAAAATGTTGGATTCAAAGCTTCCTAATATTTTTTTTCTACGTTTTTAAACTCAATTTTTTTCAAAATAAAAATAAAAATCACTTAGAAACAGTCTAATTAGTAGCGGTTTTTTTACTTTTTCTCAAAAACTCTTCAATAAAAAACATATTTTTTTTTGGTGTAGGTAATTTGGGCGATAATAGACCAGTGTGAGTCGTGCTTTAACACTGATACAAGTTTTTTGCAGTGTAAAACAAACTTTCATTGTGTCATTGAATTTTTAATAATTTAAAGTTTTTCTGTTCTAAAAACAAGAAAGTTTTCAAAAAATTGTATTTTTGAATTACTTTTTTTTTATTATAACTTTATAAGTACCACCGCCTCATTTGTGATTGTATTTATTCGCAGCTTATGTTTACCAAGTTTCAATAAATTTTGTCTTTTAGTGAGGTTTGAAACAAAAATTTAATTTAATTTGTGAAATTCACTTATTGTTGTCCATTTCAGTGTAAACATTTCTAAAATATCGTCTTTTCTTATCTGAATCACTCTGTATACAAATTAAAAATTAACACTATCATTGAATAATTTACCAATTGATTACTTTTATTAATATCAATTTCATAATGATACAAATAAATACCAGGTAAATAAAAAGTATGGAACCAAGCATTAACAATTAATTAAAAAAAAGTACTGGCTAAAAAACAATTTTATTTAATTAGAGGTCATTTTTAGATCATAATCTTTAATTAAAAAAATTACCATGGTGGGTTGCCATTTAAAAAAAAAAATTTTTCTAGAACTCGAAAACTAAAAGAAATTTCGAAAAATGTTATTCTTGATAAATGGTCACATTTTAATTGCACTTTACGCTACACTAATATTTTTTTTTTTGAAGTGCTTAGTTTACGAAAAAAAAGATTGGTTCCATACTTTTTATTCACCTGGTATTCATTAAACACATACCGAGTATTAAAAAAAGATTGTAAAATATTTAAGGAGGTAATAGTATGGTCCAAAACAAAAAAAAAAGTTTTAATAAACATGCTTTTAGTGAAAATCCTAAAATTTTTTACATTTGATACCTCTGAAACCGTTACTTTGCGGATCCATGTTTATTAAGACTGTTTCGTTTATTTTGGTCTATATTATTACATCTTTAAATATTTTACAATCTTTTTTAAACACCTTGTACATATAAGAAAAAAAAATAATTTTTTTTCTCAAGACTAATAATTTAAAAAAAATCGAATATCTTTGCAATTCTTTATAGAAAAATAAAAAATTCACTTTTCAAAAACTTTTTAAATGTTTTTTTTTTAGTTTGTTAGGTTGTTATTTTTGATAATTTTTGACATACTTTAAACAGCTTATCAGCAAATATTTTGCGGATTTCCCTTTTACGACGATAAAAACATATTTTTTTTAATTGTTTATACAAAAACAATTTAATTTCTGAAAAATATCTCATAAAGCAGTATGAACATATTTATTTATATTTTCGTGGAAGAAAAACTGTGTTGCATAGATAACACAAAGTGCATGTAAATATTATTATAATGCGTTGTGATAAAATTTGCAATAAAATCTTATAAAAGTACAATTTATATTTTTTTACGGAAGGTAAATGCTTTTTAATTATTATAATCAATATTTTTACTCTGTGACACCATGATAGGAAAGAAACAACAAAATTATAAAAAAATCATATAAAGTTCAAATTAATTAAAATATCACAAATTTAATTGATATTTTTTTGTGAATTAAAAAAAATGGAACATCACTTTATTAACAAAAGCATGAAACGTTAAATTCTCAACCTTCGGTTATTTTTGAAATTTAATAATAAATTAATAATTTTATTTTCGGAACCATTGGAAATATTTATTTAAGTTTTTTATTGATTCATTTGAAGAAATATTTCTCGTGTGTGAATTAATCGAGTTCATTAATATTAAACAATATTTTTTTCCACATGCTAGTCAAATCCATCCATAATCCAATTATTATTAATAATACCTCCGACCTTCCCATTTTCAAGCTTCAAAAACACAAAATTGAGCCAAAAATTAGTTTTTTCCCGCCAACCTTTGACCACCAAAACCAGTCTCAATTCTTGGAGTTGGTGGCAGCGCCTCATAACTCATCTGCCTATATATAATTTTTCACATGTGGAGTACCAACTGTCAGTGGTTCACCGTTCGTCGTGTGTAAATCCAACTTTGAGATGACAAGAGGTGAGTGAAATATTTTTCATTCAGTTTAATCACGGTCACGGTTTATTACTAAAACCGCAAATGGTTTTATGGAAAAATAAAGAAAGCTGTGTGGTCAACCTATTTGGTCTGCTATTTGATGAAAATTTTACGACACTTAATTATTTTCCAAATATTTGAGCCGAATTTGTTCGAACAAAACAACGGAAATCTATGCTATGTCACACGTAATATGTGCAAATTTATGCGTTTTTAGATAACTGTTCATACGATTTGTTTGCGTCTTGAAAATTATAAATATGTAATTTAAAAAAATAATTAGGAATTTTACGATGTGTTTACATCATTTCTGAAGTTAGATTTTAACTTTTTTTATTGTTTCAAATCTTTAGTAAGTTTTAAACAATAATATTTGGTATTTTTAACACTTTTCTTTACCAAATTTTTGTTCATTTAAGTGAAAAGTACTTTCAATTTTTGCCTAGTTGTAATTTTTCGATGAAAATATTGAGGAAAAATATGTTATCAGTGTAAGTGATCGTTTAGGAAAATCCCAAGTCTTGAATGACTTTAATTACAATTGTATATACTGTTATTAAATTAAAAATAATATTTTTTTTGCATCAAAATTTTGCTATTTGGAATTGCTCTAGGCCTAAAACCGGATGGGATTGGCCGACAAAGTGATAGTAAAATTGCAAAAAATGTAATTTATTCATTCCTGTGTTTATTTATGTAACACAACACTTAACACAATTGTTAGAAATGCTTCAGCAACGTGATAAATCTTAGTGGGTGGCTCATTTCTTGTAGGTATTTTTTTTTAATTTTATTCGGGAGCAAATTCTTACAATCTCTGGTTTTACCAATTTAACCCACAACAAGTTATTGAACGCTACGTGACACGCATGAGGTGTCGATTTTCTTGGAAATTTGCAACCTTCTGTTGGGAAATTCTACGATTTTCTATGATTTTTCCATTTTTAGGTGTGTAGACTTGTAAACTAATCTGCAATCTCTGGCATTGAGATTCGAGTGTTTATTGTTTTTATTTGTTTGTCATGGAAAATGCGTATTGAAAGCACATTGCAGTCTACAGAGTGTTTATTAAAAAGTTTTACAAAAAAAACTTCCATTCAATTTGCCCTTTGGTAAAAAAGATATATTCTGAAATATTTTTCTATGTTTTTACTAAAGAATTTTGTAATCCATTATTTTTTGATTTTTTGAATTACGATAATATATAATTCTGCGAGCCAAAACCCAAAATACAATATCTACAAAATACTAGTTTTTATCTAATTTTGCAATGTTTTTAGAACACGCTCTGTATTAAAGAATTAAAAGAGCAATAATTTGAAATATTTTTTGCAGAATGTGGTAATTACTGTGTTACATATGTTATACAGGGTGTTAAAAAAATTTTGTAAAATATTTAAAGAGCTAATAGTAATAAACAAAAAAGCTTTAATTAACATGGATCTGCAAATTAACGGTTTCGGAGATATCAAAGATTATTCGTTTTTTGAAACATTTATTTGCAATCTATTCAAATAAAAAAGAGAAACTTCTAGTAAAGATATGTAATAAAAAAGATTATTTTACCTAACTATTTTAAAATATTGAAAAAAAAAAACTATTTTTTATGATTCAAAGCTTTAAAACTGTCAAAATTTTTCTATCCATTTCAAAATTGCTTATACAAGGTGATCCTTATAATTCCACTGTTTTTAGACATCTTTCAATTTTATGTATAAAAAAATATGTATAACGTTTTTTCAATGATGTCCAAAATAAATTTTTTTAATAAAGACCACATGAAAATAATTTTGCTTCAATTTGCGACGTTTTTTAGAACACACTATGTATTAAAAAGTTGAGAGCAAAAATTTAAAATATTTATTACAGAATGTGGTTACTATTTTAAAAACTTTGATCTTAAAAAGTAGAAATATTTTTTCAATTAAAAACTTTAAAACTGTTTCAAATTTTCAATAAGTATTTATCGACTTACTTGGTCTAAATCGTTTTTTTTTTTAACATCTCAGTAAAAGTGAGATCAATACTAAGTTAATCAAAAAATTTTTTTCACTTTGAGTTGCGTTGCTGGGTGGTTTAGACCGTTTTATATATTTTTTTAATTCTTTACTAGGATTCTTAAAACGACAAAACTTTTTATTTTTTATGTGTAAGTTAATTTTGTGAATAATTTTTGTAACTTTAAAAGCAATTTTTGTTTCGAGAATAAAAAAAAACGATCTTTTAATAAGGACTTTAGAAATGTATTTTTTGTAATTAATTTTTTAGGTTATTGTCACAGTAGCCAAAATTAATTACAATATTTAAGTACGATTACGAAAGTTTGAAAATTTTTTACAATGTTGTAAGCAATTTCTTTTAAAAAATCGATTTCTTTGTTCTGAAGAAATTGAATTAAATAAACTTTGAGACTGAATTAAAAGTCTTTCTGCAAACATTACAAAAATAAAACAAAAAATTAAAAACTATTTGTTTAAAAAAATATATTTTTAAAGACTTTAATTACTTAGCAATACTTAACATTTAAACAAATTAAAATGAAGAGCACCTAAAAGCACGAAACTTTGATAATTTTGACGTCAAAAAAACATTCCAATCTTTGTAAAAATAGTAACAATTATTGTTTATCTGACCCTCGAACAGGCATACCACTCATGTAGAAAAAACCTGCGAGTATTACTAATTCCTAATTACCATCGTGACATAAAATTAGCATAAAAGCACCCATCGTTTTGTTCCATCAAGACAAAAGAATCACCGATGGGAAACCACCCATTATCCCATTCAGGGATTTCCGACCATCAATCCCACTGACCATGTAACAAATTTCTTCTTCTTCTTCTTCTTCTTCAAACCAAGAAAATATTTCCCTGCTGCTGTTTCACGACCATGAGGTCATCCATTTCGCAAGCTCGCATCTTACACTTGACATTGCGAAGCCCTTTCCCCATCCAAGGCTGCTGTAATTCATTCAAAGCTCATCAACATTTTCGATTGGAATGGACAGGGGAATGTTATATAAGAATTGAAAGTGTCAGAAATTTGATCAAATCGGTTCAGTTTGCTGGCTGACCATGATGGTGGTGAGACGATGGTAGGAGTGTTGGTCGGGGTTTTGCTAGTGGGTGCGATATGGGGTTGTGACTGTCAGAAGCCTTATTCTTATCAATACGTTCGCAGACAGATTGAGAGAGTGTTCGCTGAAGAGGAAGGTAAACGACGATAATGATCGATTAGTGATAAGATAACAATGTGTGGACTTTCTCTATTGGTGGGTGATTAGATAAATGGAACGATTGTCGGTAATTACTCGAATGGAATGATAATAATCGCGGTCTTGATTTTTTTCTCATGTTTGCAAACATAATTATTTCAAAATTATGTATGACGAGATTAAATCCTTTAAACAGCAAAATGCTTGCTAAAGACTGTAATTACAATCAAAATAAGTTGAGAATTTTTTAAATTGAAAATACTCATAATTCAATATTAATGAGTTGCTATCTAATTAATTTATTTAGAACGGGCCAAAAAAGGCAAAATGGCCTAAATTTGTAATAAAAGTTGGTAAAAAACACAGTCGCACATAAAAATATTTTCGCGTTAGTTTTGCAGTTAACTGTACTCAAAAAAACTTTGCTCAAGTTATGTACCGAGAAATTTATTTTCTTGCTACAAAAACATTATTTAGAACGCAAAATTATTATTCAGGCAGTTTATTAAATTTTAATAATTAAAAATTTGTTGCTCGTCAATTTATTTTTAAAGTATTTGTGTTCTCAAAGAGGAGAATTAAAAATAATTAATTAAAAAAAATAATTTGTNGTAAAACTTGTTTTGTTTTTATAATTCCTAAAAACATTTTTTTAAACTGTGTCAGAGAAAAATTTCAAGTAGGATAAGATGAGATAAATTTGACATTTATTTTTTGACATTTGAAATTTTTTAAGAGTTTTTTTATGTCTATTAAATGAGACTGATGATCTTGTATATATATTTTTTATAATTAATAATACAGGTATAAAAATTTTGCCAATAAAAGCCACAAATAATATTAAACAGAGTTACAATTTAGGGTATAGCTTCCTTGTTTCCTCTTCTATATGTATAATAGCCTGTAGCAAAAAAAACTTGAAAAATTATTTTTCCAATAGAAATAAATAAAGTCAAAGTGCAAAATTCACACTCATAACTTCGAAATTTTTTATAGAATTTTTTTAACATTTTTTAATTTTTTTTTATATCTCACCTTACATGGTATTTTTCTTTGGGGCGCAATTTCTGGCGCACCCTGTATACTAAGCGATATTAGAAACGTAACTCTTCTAAACTTATATTTTGTTTCTTTATAACATTTTTGGTGTCACTCAGTTTACGTAATTTTTGCATGTATGAAAGTGGTGAAACTTTCGAAAAAATATTCTGGAATTTGAGGAAATGGAATAAAAAATTTGACGAATTATTTTTTTATCTAATGAATTTTAATGACATTCGCACATGTTGTAATTTATGCACGTTGTTGTAATAATAGAACATAAAATTTAATTGTTTATCAAATAATAACGAAGCAGATGTAAACAAATCTTGAATAATTGTCATAATTTTGCATAAATAAATCGCTCTCCAATGTCATTGTTATTGTTTCACGATAAAAATGAAACAAAAGTGAAAGCAAAATATTAATTAATCATCTGAGATGTGCATGAAAAATAAACAACTTGACGAAATTAGAAATAAAAGGAAAAGTGTTGCACTTTTTGCGAAATAATTCTTTATAGCTGTTCGACTGTAAATAATAATTAATCAAAAGTGGAACAAACTACAAAAAAAATTCACGTGTTCTAAGAATCTTTTTTCCTAAGTTCAAGTTCAAGTTGAGAAGACAGGAAGTTCGAAATTACTATTTACGTGTTTGGATCAAGTAACATGGGTTTTTTGTAACACAAGACACGATTGTGTTAAAATAATTTAATCACGTTGGCTAGGTTAATAGACTGTAAATTGATCAAGTTTTGTAATTAGGAATGTCTGTGCAGACTCGATTGTAACGAAATTAACGAAAATTTAAAAGTCTAATTATGTAAGAGGATATGATTGGAATATTTGACTGTTTATTATACAACAATGACTAGAAAAAAATTCAAAAAACGAAACATACATTACATAAAAGCTATCAACAAATTATAGACTCTTACTAGACAAGAATGGGGTCATGCCCACTCAATTTAAATTAAATTTTTACGTTATTTCTGCGTTTTTTGGGCAAAACCACAAGTTTTCCATAAGAATTAATTTTCACTTTCAAACTCTTAAATTTGATAATTTATAATATTTTATTGTTTTTTTCATTATCAAGATCACCGGAAACACATCAACTAAATTAAGTTAATTAAACTACAAGCACAATAAACAAGAAAATTTACGTTTTTTATTTTGATTATCTCCAAATTTGCATAAAAATCTGTACTTTTACAAAAAACAACAAAAAATAATTAGGCACAGTCGTGCACAAAAAGAATGTTACAGTTTGGTGACACTACTTTTGTCAACAATTGTACTTATTTTCTAGTTAAGTTTAGATCTAAAATTAGTGTAAAATATAAATTTATAAAATCTACTTCAATTAGAAAGGGGTGTTTTGGGGGTGTATCCTAAACTTGATTCATTTAGTACATATACAGGGTGATTTTTAAAAAACGGCAGGTGCTGTAGAATTTTTTATTTATGGCCCGATTTCAAAAATTAAAAAAATTAATTAAATTGCTTTATCAAAAAATTAAGATTGAAGCAAAAATTAATTAAATTGCTTTATCAAAAAATTAAGATTGAAGCAAAAATTAATTAAATTGCTTTTAGTATAGTATAGGCCGACAGTTTTAGAATTTTTCTGAATGTTATAGAATACTTTAAACTATCTTCAACTTTCTAACTTTAAATTGGAGCATATATTTTTTTCTTCATAATTTGGAAGGTATTAGTTTTTTTGGTTCAAAAATCGGGTCATAGGTAAATAAAAATTGAACAGCGCTTCCGTTTTTTAAAATATCACCTTGTATATAGATATATATTTTTTTTAATACTACAAACACTACTCTAAGTAATTATAAATTCAAATTCACTTTTTGTTGCCGCATAAGTTCAAGACCACAAACCGTTCATGACCTTTGACCTTGTCTTATTTCAGCCAATCGCTGGTTATGCTTCGTGTTCGGCCTGTGTGCCATCGATGCCGCCTATCCCCTAAAACCCGACTTGGCCGTGGTGTACCAATGGTCCCAACTCGAGTTCGACTACCCTTCCAACGCCGACCGTCAAGCCGACATCGATTCCGGTAATTTCATACCAGGACAACCAGCACCCATCGATGTGGACGTCCATTATTCATGTCAGTGTACCATTTCACCCATCAAAAAATAATAATTTTCTTACAGTTAGCCCACATAAGAAAAGCCGGGTGTTTGTCGCAATCCCACGGTTCCAGGAGGGGGTTCCCATCGCTCTGGGAGTCGTAACTGATAAGAAATTAAACAATAATAATGTTATCAAGCCGTACCCGTCCTGGGACTGGCATAAAACCCCATCCAAGTGCAATGAGAACAGAATCGTATCGGTTTACCGAGTTTCGGTAAGTTGGCCATGAAAAAATTGAAAATAGTATTGCACTAATTTTGTTGAGAACTGTACCGCGAAATTGTCACATTAGTTTTGAAGTATGCTGTACAAAAAGAAAATATTTTGCTATATTGACTAATTTTAGATTACTATTTTTCATTGTTAATTAAACAAAATTAGTTTTGTTAAACACTGTAAGTACATAACTATACATGGTGTTTCCTAAATATTTGTCAATTAAATCATAGTCCTATAAATAAAAAATAAAAAAATTGCACAACTTTACTTTTGTTATGAACTGTACCAAAAATCGCGAAATTGTCACATTAGTTTTGAAGTCTACTGTACATAAAAAATAATTTTGGTAATTAATTAGTCGTTATTAGAATAAGAAGTTTTATAATTAATTTTGTTTAAAAAATAAAGTTAAAGTCTAATATTTAATTTTAATAATGGAAAATTTGAAACTTTTTTGTTTGCTATTCAATCAATATTAAATTAAACAAAATTAAGTATCTATCATTTGAAAAATTGAAAATAAATTGATAACTTTAATATTTGTTTTGTCATGAATTCAAATTCTAATTCTCAGTAAAGAACCCAATAATAACTATTGCATTAGTTTTGTAGGACACTGTACATAACAATACAGGGTGTTTTCTTAATTTGACGAAAAATAGCAACCACATATTCTACATCGAAAAATTTGTTAAGTAAACGATAGTGCTATAAAGCTTTGTTACAAATATACAGGGTGATTCAGTTAATTCATTTGTTCCACTGAAACCACTTGAATTATTTAAATAAAATTTTATAGGCTATGTGAGCCACTAAAAGCGCTAATTTTTATTTTATCTCTTGCCAGTGTTATTTTTCGATGTAGAATTTGTATACTCTGTATATTTTTTAAAATAATTACGCACATTTCTATAATTGATTAGTGATTATAAACATAGATTATTTTTAGACTTTTTTTTAAAGAAACTATATTTTCGGTACACTTTATGGCAAAGCTAATGTCGCTGTATTCTAAAAACCATTCTTACATTTGACAGATCGACGAATGTCAAAGACTATGGGTTTTGGACACTGGCCGTCTTCAGGAGACGCAAGTTTGCCCTCCTCAAATCTTGGCCTTTGACCTCCACACGGTAAAATTTGTCCAAAAACTCGCTCAATTTTGCAAAAACCCAATTTCAGGACCAACTTATCCACAGATTTCAGCTTCCAAAGGGTTTAGTTGAGCCGAGATCAATTCTGGTAACTCCTGTAGTAGACGTTAGAGACGCCCATGCCAAGTGTAAAGACACTTTTATCTACATTGCTGACTGTCAAACTTATTCCATCATAGTTTATGACGTCCAACAGGGCGTTGCATGGAGGGCCACAGACAAGACCATGTACCCGTACCCCAATTATGGGACTTTTGACATTTTAGGTACCTACACATAAAAAAATAAAATGATACAGGGTGGGCTCATTTTATTTATGCAGGTGACAGTTTTGACTTGATGGACGGAGTCCTGGGCATGTCTTTGTCACCCTATAAGCCAGGCCAGGACCGGGTTTTGTACTACCATGCCATGTCGAGTCCTACCGAAAACTGGGTCTTGACCTCCGACCTCCGCAACCGCTCCAGATTCATCCACGACTCCCAATCATCGCCGGAAATCTTCCATGTTAGTCGCCATTTTCTCATAATAATAATTATATTAGTAACGAGTTTAGGTTTATGAAACGAGTTTCCACAAAAGACGTAGGTACTTTTTTAACACAAAAGTCAATTTTTTTAAAATTTAAGAACTTTTGCTATAATAATGTTGGGGTTGGTAATAAATGTCACAACACCTGAAAAAAATCGCTGAAAACGTCGCTGAAAATCACCATTACCAACCCCTAGAAGGTAAATTGTACTAGTCTATTTTAGCACCCGAATTGGTGTTGAAATGGCTCATTAGAGCATTGCTTTTGGTATTGAAATAAGCTTTCTTTTAGACGCAAAATAGAAAAATGATTTTCAAAACATACAAAAGACAGTTGGTGAAACTAAAAAAATGTCAAATGTACCGATTAAAAAAATTTCTAGACTTGCAAAAAAACATTTAAAAATTCCTTGAAGAAATGCTTAAATTTAAAAAAATGTCTATCGAGACTTTTTTAAACATCGTGTTGCAAAAGACAATGAGGGAGACTATTGGAGACTATTAGATTTTGTCAAAATTTATAGCGGGGGCCTCTCACACCATCTGATTTGCAAAAATTTTATATAATTAATAAACACTCACTATCGGTTTTTGTAAAAATTTATACCAAATGTGTTTTCAACTTAAAATTTATGCACATTTAGGCCTGTTTTTCGCTATAAAACTCCACTACTTTGAAGAATTATGATTGAATTATTGTTTTTTACTTTCACTCAATCTCTACTTTTCGCCGTTTTCAACTTTTAGCGCGTCAAAATTTTCCAACAATCTCCAGGACAAAGATAAATAATAATTTTTTCAGACTTACCACGGCGAAAGACACACCCAATCGGCCGCTGAAGCCATCGACAAGGATGGAATCATGTACTTCGGTCTCATGCACGACGTCACACTCAACTGCTGGAACACCCACACCGAATACGGCCCCAAAAACATCGACATCATTGCGAAAAATTTGCAAACGTTGCAGTTTGCCAGTGGTGTCAAAGTGAGTTTTTCGGGTTGTAATTGTGGTACTACTGGTTTTTTCAGGTGATTACCAATAGCAAAGCCGGGCAAGAGTTGTGGGTTTTGACGTCGCGCTTCCAAAAAGTCGCCACGGATTCGCTATCGACGTCTGATGTCAATTTTAGAATTTTGGCAGCGAGGACTGAGGATATGGTCGCTGGGACCGCTTGCAAAAGTGGAGTACCACCAAGACCCGGCGGGGGGTATGGGTTGATCAAGCCCCCATATGTGCCTGAAACGCACCACAAGAAGCCCCATTTGGGTTTTTAAGCTTTATTATTTATTGTAGTTAATTGAATAGATTGTTTGCAGTTATGAAATAAATACTACAAAGTTTTTTGGGTTTTTTATTTGCTGTGTTACATAGACTTTACATGGATATAGTTGACTAGTACAAGATTTAATTACTACTACTAGTGCTAGAATTCACAAGAAGGTACAAAGAGCATAGCGGTTGTCATTATTTGTGTTCAAAGTTTGAGAATCTTGCGGCTTTTGTAACAAAATATAATTTCTTTAGTAACAAATAATCTTAACAGATTTCGTCAAAAAACCTTTAATTTAAAGTACCTTATCCTTAGTGACGGTCACGAAGTTACTCAAGTTAGAAAACCTAAAAAAACTAAATTAGACATTCTTATTACCAACTTGACAAAACTTACCAATTCTTTTTGCTTTTGGAAGAATTACTAACAACCTGGACAAGGAGAAACGACAGCAGTACTGCTTTGACGGTATTTATTAACACACCTGATGTCAATTCGGGAATGTAGTCAATATCGTGTGTGAAAGAAGTGGCCATTCTTCTTTCATTTGGTGTTGATTGGACTGTTCTTGCAAAATTGTTGTTTTCGTCTTTGGATGACAAAGTCAAAATGTGGCGAGTGGCATCACTGAGACGACGATCTCGGTTGTTTTGAGTACTTCTCGCTAAAACTGAGCGAATTTCTCGCCTCTCATTGTCAATTTCTCGATTACCTCGAATATTAAGTTGGCGAGATTCTCGAATTCGATCAGAGCGACTGTCACTCATTTGTTTCACTCGACGGGACTCACGATGAAATTCTCGAATTCGATCAACCGATCGTGTTTCTCGACGATTATCCAGTTGGCGTGGGAAACTCTTATTCGATCGAATTTTTCTATTGCTCAGTTGACGAGAACCTGGTTCAGTTGTTCGAATTTCTCGTCTTCTGTCATTTAAGTTGACAACCCGACGAGACTCACGGTTTTCTAGTAGGCGACGAGAACTGTCAGTTAATTGAAATTCTCGAATTCGATCAGAAGAAACAGATCGAATTTCCCGAATTCGGTCACTCAAGTCACGATTATCCAGTTGGCGATGGAGGCTATCAGTTGATCGACTTTTTCGAATGCTCAGTTGACGAGATTCTGTTTCAGTTGTTCGAATTCTGTCAGTTGAAACAGAAGAAATTTCTCGTCTTCTGTCATTCAGGTTGTTAAGTTGACGAGATTCACCTTGGCGACGAAAACTATCAGTTGATTGAGATTCTCGAATTCGATTAGAAGAAACGAATCGAATTTCCCGGTCACTCAAGTCGCCAACTTGTCGAGACTCACGATTATCTAGTTGGCGGCGGAAATTGTCAGTTGATCGAATTTGTCGACTTCCTCGAATATTCATTTGACGAGTTTCTGGTTCAGTTGTTCGAATTCTGTCAGATGAAACAGAACGGATTTCCCGTCTTCTGTCACTCAAGTTGATAACTCGACGATATTCACGGTTTTCTAGTTGGCGACGAAAATTATCAGTTGACCGTACTTCTCGATTGTCAAGTTGTGGAAATTCTCGAATTCGATCAGAAGAAACAGATCGAATTTTCCGAATTCGGTCACTCAAATCGCGATGGAGACTTTCAGTTGATCGACTTTTTCGAATGCTTAGTTGACGAGATCCTGGTTCAGTTGTTCGAATTCTGTCAGTTGAAACAGAAAAAAATTCTCGTCTTCTGTCACTCAGGTTGTTAAATTGACGAGATTTACGGTTTTCTAGTTGGCGACGAAAACTATCAGTTGACCGAATTTCTCGATTGTCAAGATGTCGAAATTCTCGAACTCTATCAACTAAGCGAATTTTTCCTTGTCTGTCATTTAAGTTGTTAACTTCTCGCCTGTCTTGAGTATCTCGAATGTTCAGTTGGCGAGATTTTGGTTCAGTTGTTCGAATTCTGTCATGTGAAACAGATCGAATTTCTCGTCTTCTGTCACTCAGATTGTCAACTCGATGAGACTCACGGTTTTCTAGTTGGCGACGAAAACTGTCAGTTGATCGAAGAGAAGAAATTTCACGTCTTCTGTCACTCAAGTTGTTGATTTGATCAAACTTGCTTTTTTCTAGTTGGCGACGAGAACTGTCAGTTGGTTGCACTTCTCGACTCTTTCGACTGTTAAGTTGTCGAAATTCTCGATGTTTATCAACTCGTTGTCTGTCATTTAAGTTGTTAACTTGTCGTCTGTCTCGACTATCTCGAATGTTTAGTTGACGAGATTTTGGTTCAGTTGTTTCTCGTCTTGTGTCAGATGTTCGATTTTCGCGAATTCGTCTGTTCAAATTGTTAATTTCTCGTCTATTTTGACTTACTTGATTGTTTATTTGACGTGATTCTCGGTCAGATTGTCGAATTCTGTCGTCAGTTGAAGTTGCTCGAATATCTCGCCAAAAATCAGTGGTCTGTATTTCTCGAATATTTCGTCTTGTATCGTCTAGTTTATCAAGTTGTTGAGCATTATCAACCGTTCTGATTCTGTCAGTTGAAGTTATTCGATTTTTTTCGTGAGGTAGTGATCGCAAAGTGTCAACTTCTCTTCTTCCGGCTGAAGTTCCCAACGAGTGTTGCCAAATGCTTCCAAAAAAATTTTGAGAGTTTCGCGTTTCGAGAAAGCCATCAGTTGAAGTTAAACAGAATAGTAATAGTACAATTGCGGAACAGCCCATAATTCTTAACTGTTTCATGTTGGAAGAAACGAAAATTCTTTATTTCGGATTAGATGAGTGACTTGTATAGTTAGCTCGGTTTTTAAAAATGTTTCAAGTAAGAGACGCTTCGACTTTCTGGAGATTGGAGAGCCACGAGATGGTATTTATACGAATTGTGAACGAAGCTATTTCACAGTTGGACGGATTTGGTTGGAATTAATCAGGTGGTGAGAAAATGGGGGCCATAATTCAATTTTAACCCCATTTGCTTGATACACTGTTAGGGGCGTTTCAACAAGTCTTCCCACAAAATCGTCAACAAAAAAAATATTAACATTTTTTGTAATATTACAAAATACTTGAAACATCAACTCGTGAAAAAAATTATTAATTTGGGTGCGATTTAAGGGAGGAGTCGAGAAAATTCCGTTTTAGCAGTGTATGGAAACACCTTATTGACCATGTGTGTCGCAGCTGATAAGACCTGTTTGGTTATTAAATCTCGAGTGTCTCATCTGTTTCATTTAAAATCTATTAAGGGCTGTGTTGGCGTCACAACTTACACCCAATAAATTTGTAACAAATATAAATAAAACACACAATTAATTAAAACGGTCAAATAAAAAAATATTATTAACAACATGTTCACAATAGCTTGATTATAATGACTTTGATAAAAACGAATTATTTCATTACTTGATAAAGAAGTGTACTTATATAAGATTTTAATTGAATTAGTGTGTACCTACTTGTTGTAAACACTTTATATTAATTTAAGAATAAAGGGCAATTGGTGTTGAGGAAAAAGAAAATTTTTGACAGTTTACGCGTTATCGAGGTTATAGTTTTTGTTTAATGTTACCTAAATCAACAATTTTTCTTTTTATTTATTCAATTTTGGTAAAGTTACCGATTAACATTGCACTATTTTAAACTACACTTTATCTAAAATCTTCCGAGAAGTCGATTGGTGTCGAGAAAACAGGAAAATTCCTGATAGTTTACAAATTATCAATGAATACATTTCTTTGCTCATAGTTACCTAAATTAGTGATTTTTATAGTTTTTTGTAAAATTATTTTTCAAAATGAAAATATTTTGGTCCATACATTATGTAATTATAGTTATTGCGTTATCGAAGGATATAGTTTTTGTATATTCCTACCAAAATTAGCAATTTTTATTACTACATAATAAATATGTAATCGACTTTTGTAAAATGACCGTTTAAAATTGAAAAAAAAATGAAATGTTCCAAGAAATCAATTGATGTCGTGTTTATTCCAATTTAAATTTAAAAATAAGTTTTTTGTTTTTACTATTTTTATTTGATTTTTATTTTTGTAAATTCGAGTACAATAGAGAACGAAAAATGACTCAAAAAATTTTCAAAACCAATTCTTGCGATTAAAATTAGCCCTGTCCCTGTCATAATAATTGAGAAAAAATAAAACAATTAATTAACTTCAATAAAAAATTTATTACATATAAAAAAATAAATAAATTACAACATTTAAAATTAAGAGAGATCAAGAACGTGAGTTTTGATAAAATTCTTAAAATATCCTGCACTTGTGAACACCGCTGGAACATAATTATCAGAACACAGAGCAGGAATCCAGGTTAGGAGCCCTATGAGTCTGCCATCTTGCACAAGAGGCCCCCCTTCATCCAAAAAACAGGGGGCTGCGTTCCCTGTGACACACACATGCATTTCTTTCTCAATCACAATATTGTCGCCATAAGCATTATTAAAGGCCTTAGAACAATCTGAAAAAAATATATATACAAGGTGATTTTCACTAAAAAAAGGAATGTTACAGTTTGGTGACACTACTTTTGTAAACAACTGTACTTATTTTCTAGTTATGTTTAGATCACAAATTAGTGTAAAATATGAATTTATAAAATTTACTTTTTTTATTTTAGAATTTTTCTAAATGTCAGTATATTTTGGACTACATTCAATTTTCGAATTTTAAATTGGAACGCATTTTTTTGTCATAATTTGGAAAGTATTATTTTTTAATACATATGTTTTACCTTTACTAGAAATTGTTAAAATTAACAAAAAATTGGTTAAGTTAATAAAATCCAGTTGCATGGTGTCAAATAAGAAAATGCTATTATTCAAAAAGCAGCAAATTTTTTCCAATTTTTAATAAAAAATGACAAAAATAATTACCTATAGCAACTCAGAAAAACATCTAATTTGGGGTAATTAATATATCTTATTATTATTTATTTATTTCGTTTACTTTTAATAAGAATATTGTCAAAGTTAATTTTTCTATTGACACTATGCAACTAGATTTTTTTAATTGTATTTTGCAAATAATTAAACAAAATTTGTTACCTTCAAAGGGGACCACCGTCATGTTGGCGGCTTGTAGGACAGAATTGAGGTGATTTTCGCCCCCCCACCCGGAAAAAACAGTCAATTCGTCTTCGGCAACACACCGGACTTTGGAGATTTGTAACGGCTTGACATAGTCATTGAATTCAAAAGGTTTGGTCATTTTTAGCAAAGCGATATCATTGGAAACATCACTAGAAAAAAATTAGAACTTTGCCAAAATTATATGCAGGGTGCTTACTCAAAATCGGGATGTTTGATAACATTATACAGGTCGATTTTTCGAATTTGTACATTTGGGTTATTGTCGATGTTACTGAGATTGAAAGTCCCAGCGACGACACGGGAGACCAGGAGTGAGATCCCCACGCAATGGGCGGATGTCACGACCCATGATGGGCTGATTATCGTCCCGGCGCATTGGTGTTGGTTGGCGAGAAAACCGGTCTGGATGGACACTTGGTATGGATAGCTGTTGTCAAAGACGTCGCCCCCGTTGATGATTTTGACACTGGGGGCTCCTAAACACAATTATTTGACAATTTGACAATTTTTCATATTTTAAAACTTACCAAAAGTGAGCCCCAGAAGTAGGGAAATCACTGTTATCACTCTCATGCTCATTGTTCGAAATTGAGAAGCTTGTGATTGCTTTTATAGGTAAAAGATAGTACTTGAAATAAGATAAAATCTTGTTTGATTTAATTTTAATTTTTTTAAGGACATTTTTTTTTGTCTTAAATTCTTCCAGAAAAACCGTGTTTGTGTTTACAAATTTTGCGTTTTGGCAAGTTGGTACACCTGTACTTGGTGTAAACCGGGGAAAATCGTCAATTGCGTATCTAATCTCGTATCGAATGACATAATTGAGTGCATTTGCACTTGGCGGACTTTGATTCGGGTTTAAATTCCGTGCGACAATAGATGAAATAATTTTTGTGTGATTTGCAAATCGGTCATTTCGCGGACAAAAGATCAATGAAAGCAATGGAAAAAATTCAACAAAAGAGTCAACCACGAATAGTAATTTGGTATGGTCACGTGGGACGCATGAATGGGCAGCAGATTGAAAAATAAGTCTTAATAAATTATAAAATGTTTGGAGGCTCTGAAGAATTCTTTGAAAATGATGGGATAAGTTGTGAATGCATTTTTTTTTTCAAAATTAAGTCTCTGATTTGGTTTGGGCGGTTTATGGACGGCTAAACTTTAATTTAGTGTTTGGTTATTAATTGTTTTTGTCTCATTATTAGTCGGAGAGGAAGCAATGAAGCAGAACTGTGTTAATAATTAAAAAAAAATGATATTTGAACCCTCTGTATTTTTCCCTCATTTTTCAATATTTTAAGATTTTATCTAGTTTTAACATCTAAACAAATAAATAAATACTTATAGTAAACGACTAATTTATCAGATTAAGTGTTTGAAATTGTTAAATAAACACAAAACTGTCGAAAATGTAATTTTTAGTTGGATGACTAAACATTTTCATAAGTATATTTAATGGAATTTTTTGATAATATTGAGATAAAAATATCGTTTAAAAGTGCATATGTACTAGAAATAAGTTACGTACACAGTGTGTTGTAGAATTAAAAATTAAAATTTCAGTTGAAAAAAAATTGATGTAAATCAAAATAATTAATAATGTTTTTTACACTTTTAGAAGTCCTAAAAAAGTGCATGAACTCATAAAATGTTACTGCAATGATTAATGTTTTAAACCATATTGTAGGTTTTACGCGTTTTCACTCATTTATCATTTCTATTTTGTAGAAAAAAATGTTTAAATAATAATATTAATTAATTGTAAAAACAATAAATAAATTTTCTCCTACAAATCATTATTTATTCCTCACTGAATAAATGAATCTTCAATTCCTGATTGGTGAGTAAACCATCGACAACAAAAGCCTCAAATTACACACCAAATCCCCATTTCGCCCAATTTTGTCACGACACACCTTCAATCAGCCCAAACCTAACATAACAGTTTCGTAACTAGCACACATAACATTGTTAAATAATGATAATAAGTTCCTATTGCCGCCCTGACTTGTTAAAATTCACAAATAGGTACATAACAAATCGGCATGCAAACACTCCATTGTGCGAAATTAAACCACACTTCCGGATTTTCGGACCACCATACCATCCAGACCTTGCGCCACTTGATCCCAAATCCTGCGTACGCTGCAAAACCCACTCAAGCCGAAGAAAATGCTTGAAAAACGCCAGTGTTGAACCAGAGTGTGAACAGCTTTCACAGTCGTTACCGATCAGGCGTGCCAACATAACGAGACTAAAAATTATTTCTAATTTACTTTTTTTTTAACTAAATTTTGACAGTTTTGTGTACCATGTAGGAACCCTAAACGTAAGTGACCAATTTTTGGCCCACAAAACTAAAAAGCAAAATGCCGGTTTAGTTACCCCAACCATGGCAGTGAGCAGCTCCTGGTTCCATCAGTGGAACCCCCCGAACCACTTCCCGGACCCCTTTTTCGGGAATTTCACCACCGGAAACAAGCACAAGAACGGTGAGTGATGGGGTTTGCAACGTGACAAATTCGTATCAAGGTGAAAAAATGCGTTTTTTGTCGTGGAAAGGCGAATAATAATTGTTTATTGTGTGGTGGAGTTAATTTGCATGTATAATAATGGGAAAATTTTTCTCAGGGTTTTTTTTTTTTGAACTGCAATGAGAGTGGCATTTTTGACTAATTGCTGTTTTTCTTTGCGAAAAGTAATTTCATGGATTGAGAATTGTGGAACCGATTGACGAGTTTCTTGCATAAATTTTGATCTCACCAAACGCTGAAACTCACCTGAATTACATAGATAATTGTGACAAAAATGGAAAAAATTTCTTAAAATGGGAAACCACCAAAAAAAAACAGAAATTTTAATTAATTACAATTCTTTGAATATCAAATTTAACCACCAAAATCGCTAATTAAGTATTATTAATTAACAATAAATAAAGAAAATTAGAGTTGGAAGTTGTAAAGAATGAAAAAAAAGAAAAAGAAACTTTTCAGTGTTAGTAACCATCAGTTACTTAATTACAATTAATTACCTAAGAGTAAATTAAATTTTCTAGTTTTGAATTTATGATTAATTATTATTTCAAAATAAATACAAATAGTATTTTGAACAATAAAAAAAATATGTTGACAATTAAGTTGCATGAATAGACAATATTTGCCTCTTAATTAATTGCAATTAGTTAAAAACCTAAAATTAATTCATTAATTAATTACTTTAAATTAATTTATTTTTTGTCAGAAGTTCCTCAGTGTTCAGAATTTTTTACATTTTTTGTAGTTTATAATAATTTCCAGAAAACATTTGCGAATCAGATAGGATTTGTCCAACGTTTTTAGTTACATATTTACAACGAATTTTTATCTACTCAATCGACAAAATAGATATAATTTTTTTTTCTAACATTAAATTTTCATTAAACATGAAAAAACAAGAAATTTTAATCAATTAATTAATTAACTGAACAATCAAATTTATCTACCAAAATCGCTTATATTAATTAACAGAAATAAAAAAAATTCAAAGTTGGAAGTAACAAATAAAAAAACAAAAAAAAATTTGACAATAGGAAGCATCAACTACTTAATTACAATTAATTATACAATAGCAAAGTAAATTTTCCAGTTTCTAATTTATATGATTAATTGTTACTTTAAAATGAACGCAAATAGCAAAAGAAAAATATTTTGAAAATTAAGTGGTAATTAATCGCAATTAATTATAATACTTTAAATTAATTTCCTTTTATGTTAGAGAAAATGACTCGTTGCTAAGGAAAAAGAGACAATTTTTTATTTTATAACTAATTTTGGAAAATAATTCAGGCACCTAATTTAATTAAATTAAGAAAACAATTAATAATATTTCCAGTGCGTTACATACCGAGCACCTGATTATTTTAAATTAACAAATCAATTTCTATTTTTAATTAGTTTCCATACAAATGCCGTAAATCAGAGCCACATGCAAAAAAACAAACGTATTACAGCCACTTTCGACCAATTAACCAAATAAAACGCATAAATTAAAAAACAAGCCGAAAACTAGGAATTTGACATAAAATATAACTAATTCAAACGTAACGTGCAAAAATCACATTCACCAAAAATTACAACATCGTAAAATTTATGTGCATAAGCTACTTTTACTTCCAAAACAAACTCGTGATAAAAAAAAAATAATTAATTCGTGAAAAATTCGGTTCATTGTCACGAAAAGTGTGTATAGTCGGTGTAGGTGTTGTCTACCCAATTAATTAATTGGGTCACGTGGTTTAAAAATGAAAGGTTATATGTCATGTAACTTTCACTATTCCTGAATAAATTAAAATTTTATTCAATGACTGCATTACGCACTTCATTAATTCGAAAAAAAGCAATTCTTGTTATTTATTACAACAGATAATTGCATTTTACAGTTATGTATCTGTTACATAATTGTGAATGGACATTCAACTTCACATTTTGGCCTGGTTCTTGCACCGTTCAAGGACAAGGGCAAGAACATCAAATGAATCATTGAGAAACAACACATAATTAAATCAAGTGAAAAGATAAGAAATTTATTACAACCGATAAAAAAGAGTTTTTGTTACATAAATTTGTTGATAAACAAATGATGAAATGTCAAAAACAACCTTTTGACTTTTCAAGGTTATGTCAATTTTCCACTCAGCCGGCTAGATTATCGATTTCCTGCTTATTTCAGAGGAGAAGTATGGTCAAATCTCCAACCTCCTCCCGTTTTTCCTCCAATTGGGCCTTCTGGAGCCCCCAGCTCCACCCACGGAACGCACTGGCCATTTTACCACATGGTACAAATGGAAAATGCTCGACTTTGTCTACCCATCGGACGAGGACCGGATCGCGGCCATCGCCAGCGAGGACTTCATCCCGGAAAATAACCTCCCATTGGGTTTGGAGGTATACCAGGACCGGATTTTCGTCACCACGCCCAAATGGAAGCCTGGGGTACCAGCCACCTTATCCGTCATACCCAAAACCCGGCGAGAAGTGTCCCCAAAACTGGTACCTTACCCCAACTGGGAGTACCACAGGACTGGTACAACCCCTTTTTGTCAAAAAACAAACCAAACCTAATTGTCAAATTCTAGACTCCTGTGAGGGCCTTACATCCGTTTTTAGGATCCACGCTGATTCTTGCGGCCGCCTATGGGTCCTAGATTCTGGCCAAATTGACGTAACCATCAAACCTAGACAGGTTTGCCCAGTCCAAATCTTTCTATTTGACCTCAAAACCGACAAACTCCTCCTCCGCTACCCCCTCCCTGACGATTTCATCAAACAAGATTGTCTCTATAGCAACATCGCGATTGACATTCGGGATAATGATTGTTTGGACGTCCACGCCTACTTGACGGACGTCTGGCGATATGGACTTGTCGTGTTCAGTCTGAAAAGAATGACAAGTTGGCGCATCACCGATCATTTGTTTTACCCAGAACCTCTCGCAGCGGCGTACAACGTCCATGGACTTGAGTTCGAATGGGTCGATGGTATTTTCGGTATGGCCTTAAGTCCATACAACAAGAAGGTTAAGGATCGTGTCCTGTATTTTCACCCAATGTCGAGTTTTCGGGAATTTTTTGTCAAAACTTCGATTATTTGTAATGAAACTGGATGGAGTGATGTTAAGGACGCGTTCAAGGTCATGGGACAAAGTCGGGGGAAGTTTGGCCACGCTTCGGCCTCGGGGATGGACAGGAATGGGATTATGTTTTTCAATATGGTCACAAGGGATGCGATTGGGTGTTGGGACTCCCGAAAGCCCTACAAAAGGGATAATATCGGGATTATTGCCAGGAGTACCAAAACTTTGGTTTTTCCCAATGATTTGAAAATTGATTTGGAGAAAAAACAAAGTGTGTGGGTCTTGTCGAATCGTCTGCCATTTTTCTTGTATCGTGAATTGAACAAAAGTGATTATAATTTTAGGATAATGACAGCCTATGCTGAAGATGCCATAAAAGACACTGTTTGTGATCCGCATTATCACACTCATGACACTTTCAGGAGCTTTCCTGACGGCGAAGATTGCTACTAAATTATTACCAATAAATTTTTATTTTCTCCATTGTGGTTTTATTAAACGCTCCAAAACTTGAGTAAAAAACATCAACAAAAAAATATATGCAAAAAAAATTATCTTCTTGTCTCAATAAAATAAAAAATAGAAAATTCCAAGAAACTTTCCTATA